GAGGGCACCTGTTGGGATGAGCACTGGGTGTTGTATGGAAACCAATTTGACAATAAATTTCATAAAAAAAAAAAAAAATCTTTTCATTTCTTTGGGTAAATATCCAGAAGTGGAACTGCTGAATCATAGGGCAGGTCTGTTTTTAATTTCTTAAGAAATGTCCATTGTGCTTTGCACAGTGTCTGTACCACTTTACATCCCCCCAGTGGTGTATAAGGGCTCCCTTTTCTCCACATTATTGCCAGCCATTCATCTCTTTTATATAAAAGCCATCCTAACAGGTGGGAGGTGATAATCTCATTGTAGTTTTGATTGGCATTTCCCTGATGATCAGTGGTATTGGGCACCTTTACCTATTGGCCATTTGGATGTCGTCTTTGAAAAAACATCTACTCATTTCCTGTGCCCATTTTTTAATCTTTTTTGTTTCTATTAAGTTGTAAGAGTTTTTGTAATATGTATCTTGGATCCTACCCTCTTATCAGATACGTGATTTGGAAATATTTTCTCCCATCCTATAGGTTGCTATTTTCATTTTGTTGATGGTTTTCTTTGCTGTGCAGAAGGTTTTCTGTTTGATATGGTCCCAGATGTTTGTTTTTGCCTGTTACTTTTGCTTTTGATGTCAGATTAAAAAAAAAAAATCATTACAAGACCTATGATGATCTTACCCCTTGTGTTTTCATCTAGGGGTTATATGGTTACAGTTCTTACATTTAAATCTTTAATCTGTATTGAGTTGATTATTGTGAATGGTGTAAGACAGTGGTCTAGCATCATTCTTTTGTATATGGCTGTCCGGTTTTCCTAGCAACATCTATTGAGGAAACTGTCCTTTCCCCCCATTGTATATTCTTGGCTTCTTTGTCAGAAATTAACCAGATATGTGGGGGTTTATTTCTGGGCTCTCTGTTCCATTTACCTGTGTGGCCAGGTTTGTGCCAGTACCATACTGTGTCAATTACTATAGCTTTGTGATACTGTTTGAAATCAGAAAGCGTGATGTTAGCTGTGGGCTTGTCATATATGGACTTTATTAGGTTGAGGTATATTCCCACTTTACCCACTTTGTTAAGAGCTTTATCATGGAAGGATGGTGAATTTTGTTACATGTATTTTTTTTTTTGCATCTAGTGAGGTGATCATATGATTTTAATCATTCGTTTTGTTAATGTGGTATATCACATTTATTGATTTGTGGTGTTGAACCATCCTGTATCCTTGGAGTGTATCCACTTGATCAAGTGTATACACTTGATCATGGTGTATATGATCCTTTTAAGGTACTTTTGAATTTGGTCTGCTAATACTTTGTTTGAGGTACTTTGCATCCGTGCTCATCAGATGCACATTCATTGTAGTGTCCTTGCCTGGTTTCAGGATCAGGTTAATGCTAACTTCACAAAATGTATTTGGAAGTGTTCCCTCTACTATTTTTTGAAGGAGTCAGAGAAGTACATTCTGGCAGAATTTACCAGTGAAGCCATGTGATCCTGGACTTTTGTTTGTTGGCAGACTTTTGATAACTGTTTCAGTCTCCTTATTGATAATTTGTCCAGATTTTCTCCTTTTTCATGATTTCATTCTGTAGGGTATGTATTTCTAGGAATTCATCCATTTCTTCGAAGATTTCCAATTTGTTAGTATGTAATTGCTCGTAGTAGTTTATGAGCCTTTGCAGTTTTTCCATGTATTTTTTTTAATTGAACTGTAGTTGATATACAATGTTACACTGGTTGCAGGTGTACAGCGTGGTGATTCAGCGAGTCTACACATTATGCTGTGCTCACCACAAGTGTAGCTACCACCTCTCACCACACATTACATATGTTACATTGCTTACCTTCCCTGTGCTGTACCTTTTTCCCCATGACTTATTTATTTCATAGCTGGAAGCCTCTGTCTCCCACTCTCCTTCACCCATTTTGCCCATATGATCCTCTGTATTTTTATGGTATCAATTATGTCTTTCCTTTTATTTATTATTTTATTTGAATTCTTTTTTCTGTTGGCTTTTTAGTCTCTATTTCATTTATTTCCCTTCTGATCTTTGTTACATCCTTTTTTCTAGTACCTTTGGCCTTAGTTTGTTCTTTTTCTATCTCCTTTAGGTGTAAGGTTAGATTGTTTATTTGAGATTTTTCTTGCTGCTTGAGGTAGTCCTCTATTGCTGTAAACCTCCCTCCTAGAATTGCTTTTGCTGCATCCCATCAGCTTTGGCATGTTGTATTTCCATTTTCATTTGTCTCAAGATATTTCTTGATTTTCCCTTTGAATTTGGTTCTTTGACTGATTGGTTATTCAGTAGTATGTTTTAAATCTCACATAGTTGTGAATTTATGTGTTTTTTTTTTGTTACAATTAATTTTTTTCTTCTTCTTAAAGTTTTACTTGTTTAAGTAGTCTCTACAGCCCAAGTGGGGCTCAAACCCTTGACCCCTAGATTGAAGTGCATGCTCTTCCAACTGAGCCGGCCAGGCACCCCTCTTGTAATTCATTTCTAATTTCATACTCTTTTGGCTCAAAAAGTTGCTTGATATCAATTGAATCTTCTTAAATTTATTAAGACTGGTTTGTGCCTAATGTATAATCTGTCCTGGAGAATGTTTTTTGGGCATTTGAGAAGAGTATGTATTTTGCTGCTGTTCAGTGGAATGTTCTGTAGATGTCTGTGGGGTCTGTCTGGCCTAACATGTCATTTAAGTCCATTGTTTCTTTTTTGATCATCTGTCTAGGTGATCTGTCCGTTGCACGTAGAGTATTGAAATCCCCTACGTCTAACGTATTGCTGTGTAATTACATAGCAGTATATCCCAAATAGTTGATGGTGCTTCGTTTCTGGGTAAAGGAGCATTTTCATTTTTACTTCAAGAGTTGTATATTCCTCTATGATTTTTTTTTAATGTTTACTTATTTTGAGAGAGAGAGAGAGAGTGTGCAAGTGGGGAAGGGGCAGAGAGAGGGAGACATAGAATCCAAAGCAGACTCCAGGCTCTGAGCTGTCAGCACAGAGACCAACATGGGACTTGAACTCATGAGCCATGAGATCATGACCTGAGCCGAAGTCAGATGCTCAACTGACTGAGCCACCCAGGCACCCTTGTGTTTTGTTTTGTTTTGTTTCTTTAAAGAAAGAAAACAAAGAAGGTATTTAAAAAAATTTTTTTTAACGTTTATTTATTTTTGAGACAGAGACAAAGCATGAACGGGGGAAGGGTCAGAGAGAGGGAGACACAGAATCTGTAACAGGCTCCAGGCTCTGAGCTGTCAGCACAGAGCCCGGCGCGGGGCTCAAACTCACGGACCGATGAGCCGTAGAGTCAATGGCGCTAACAGGCTTCAAGCAAGGAAGGTTTTTTTGTTTGTTTGTTTGTTTTTAATCTTTATTTATTTTTGAGACCGAGAGAGACAGAGCATGAACGGGGGAGGGTTAGAGAGAGGAAGACACAGAATCTGAAACAGGCTCCAGGCTCTGAGCTGTCAGCACAGAGCCTGACGCGGAGCTCGAACTCATGGACCGCAAGATCATGACCTGAGCTGAAGTCGGCCGCTTAACCGACTGAGCCACCCAGGCGCCCCAGAAAGGTATTTTTAAATAGAAGGAAGAGAGCTTGAGACATCTCATTGGAGATAAACATTGGTAGTCCCAGTTTTCTGACGTGGGCCCCATCAGTGAATTTCTGGACTTACTGAGATCTCCAAGTGTATATAGCGCAGTTTTCTTTTCTTTATCTCTTTCTGTGTTCGTATTCTCCCTTGTCTCCCCAGTGAGACAGCAATAGACTTCCCACTTCTGTTAATTAGGTTGAGCTGTTACATGTCTGTCTGTTCTGCAATACTTTATGGTAATGAATGAGCTTAATGTTTCTAATGCACTCTAGTTGTAGTCTTGTGAAAGTTATATTACTTTTAATTGTATGGATTAGTAAGAACGTGGATATTGAGGAGGGGAAAGTCAGCTAAGGCAGGTGGCATTCAACTTGGATGGCACCTTGGGAATGTTCACCTGGCCTGTAGCTTTAGTCAGTAAAATTTATGAAAGACCTGATTTCCAAAGGAAACATAACTAATGGTAGGTGAAGGGTTGAGAAGATCATCCGAATATCCTAGAGAATACCAAGATAAGTATGTTACGTAATGAATTTTTTAAAGACCTAACGATGCTGTTGTTTGCTGGCAGGATAGGGTATACAGGGTTGAAACTTCAAGTCAGAGACCACCCCCCTCCCTCCCCCCCGCCCAATCATTACATTATTTTTGGAAGTCTACTGTGATTGTGTCATTCTAGCAGACAGAATTTAAAGCCTATTCTGTAATGTGTACAATAGCCTTCTAGTACCTAGTCCACAAAGTAGAGTAGATTTGCACGCTCAGGAAACCTCAATGTTGTTCAAAAACAGCCTGAAATTTCTTTCAGCTTTGATCATTAGCTCACTATGAAGATTTTTGGTTTTGGGGGCCCCATCATCTTTGTATCCCATTTCCAATTTTTTTTTACGTTTATTTATTTTGAGAGAGAGAGGGAGAGAACATGAGCAGGGGTGGGGTGCAGGGAGAGAGAATCCCAAGCAGGCTCTGTGCTCTCAGCACAGAGCCTAATGCAGGGCTCAGTCTCCCTGTGAGATCATGACCTGAGCCAAAATCAAGCGTCAGATGCTTAACAGACTGAGCCGCCCAGATGCCCCCCATTTCCTAATTCTCATCTAAGGCAGATTTATTAATAGTTGTTATCTAATGCTCACCAGATCATGAGCTCCTTGAAGAGAAGGAGAATGTGTGGGGAGTGTTTATATTTCCTTCGAGGCCTAGAACAATATACTCCATATTGCCCTCTGGGAAAGATTTGTGAAAGTGAACTGATGCTAATTCAGTTTCATGGGCTGCAATTTTCTGTTACTTCCTTCCCAGGAGACATGTGAGATAAAGATACCAGCAGGTAAGTTTGTCATATATATTGTCATGTGTATTGACATCACCATTTCCGTTTTCTTGTTAAATAGGAACTATCCAAGATCACCATGCCAGTTATATTTAATGAGCCTTTGAGCTTCCTACAACGACTCACTGAATATATGGAACATACATACCTCATCCACAAGGCCAGTTCATTTTCTGATTCTGTGGAAAGGATGCAGGTACGTGTCAAGCACTGAAAGGGTTTAAATCTCAGAGACTTCTCTGCCACCTCCACCCCCGAAACATACACAAAATTCATGTTCAATCCAGCGTGAGATTGGTAAATGTTATTAAAACTTAGAATATTTGGAGTGTCCTCTGTGTTCCTTCCCCTGCCATCCTCTGGCCAGAGTGCCACCACAGTGGGAAGACGAGTGACAATTGGAAGAGAAGCAGAAGGTGGTCCATAACCAAATCGGATGTTGGTGAGCTGTTTCTGAGTCTTCATTTTAGAAAGTAATGTGTTGGGAGAAACAGCTCAAGTTTTCTTCTTTCACACTTTCTTAGAGTATTTCCGAGAAGGAGTGAACACACACATACATACACAAATATGTATATTTATGCTTATGTGTGTAATTAACTTACACACTATTCTAGATTAAAACAAAAGATAACAAGGAATTGCACTTTGTAATTTTGTTTTGGATAGAAGATGCTTACATGATGTGTACAGATGGATTAGTTACAGGCAGAGCAGAATAGACACATTGTTCTCCAGACAAAGCAATAGCATTCTAAACGGAATCTTTCTGTTCTTTCATTTATATAAATCAGCTTTCCCCAACCTCCTGGGACTTAATACCAATTTGTTTAGTTTTATCTCTTTTTCCCTATCCTCAAATTGTACTTTTAGAAATTTTAAGGGAATTAAAAGTAATTTGGGGTTTGAGAGTTTTTTAAGTTCTTGAGTGAATTTGTAGCACTCAGGGTGTTACAAAAACCATAGCTCAGAATGACTATAGCAGAGACTCAGTATTTTTCATTTTGAATACACACACTTGCATATTAAGTTGCTAGAGATATATTAAAAATCCAAAGTAATTAAACTCCTCAAAATAATTTTGTAATTATTATCTTCAAGATTTCAGTTCCTTAAAGAATGGGGAGCAAGTGAGGCTATCTTTAACTTCTAATGCTGTGTTCCACAGTGTGTAGCTGCATTTGCTGTATCTGCTGTTGCTTCTCAGTGGGAACGCACTGGAAAGCCTTTCAACCCGCTTCTGGGAGAGACTTACGAATTAGTTCGGTAAAGATCTTTCCTTCACTCTTTGAGATGGGTAGTTGACTTTGTGTGATACATGTAGCTTTTTAGGTGAAGAGGAAAAAAACATATATATTTTTTTAACGTTACCAACATTTGCATTCCTGGAGCAAGTTAACAATTTTGATGTTTGTTTCTCTTTTAGAGACTCTGTCAGAAATGTGGAAACATGCATAAAATGCACCATTATAAGAAGTAATTAAGCGATTTCAATATTACTGATCATGTGGGATTAATTATTCTTTTCTCCTTACATAGATCATGTGATTGGAATTTTTTTAATACCCATATCAAATATAGTAACATAAATGTGTACTGTTGGCATAAAGGCAATGACACATCTATAGATGCACTTCTGTTTGCCTGTTTCTTGATCCACAATTAAGGAATTCATTTGGCTTTAGTTTTTCTGAATCTTCCCTTTTTATACAAGTTTGGATACTATTTATTATTTTTTTTAATTTAATTTCTTTTTAATGTTCATTGGTTTTTGAGAGAGAGGATTGAGCTGGGGGAGGGGCAGAGAGAGAGGGAGACACAGATCTGAAGTGGGCACCAGGCTCTGAGCTGTCAGCACAGAGCCCGACGTGGGGCTCGAATCCACAAACCACATGATCATGCCCCGAGCTGAAATTGGACGCTCAACTAACTGAGCCACCCAGGCGCCCCAATAACATGTATTTTCTAAACGTTTGGAAGGGTGGGGACACATTAGATTCCTCTATCCTAGTATCAGCGGAAGAAGTTTAAATTTACATGGCTCATATTGGCAATTCATGCAGGTCACCCAAATTCATGTGTGTGTTCTTTAATATTTTCAAGTAGCTAGAATCTGCTGCTTTAATACTTTTACATTGCCTTTTGACTGAAACGAAAGTGATGTACACGTTACATGATAAGAGTTAATTACAGTGTTGCTTTTTTTTTTTTTCTTTTTAAATCTCAAGAGATGACCTTGGTTTCAGACTCATCTCGGAGCAGGTCAGCCATCACCCACCCATTAGTGCATTTCATGCTGAAGGATTAAACAACGATTTCATCTTTCATGGCTCGATCTACCCCAAACTGAAGTTCTGGGGCAAGAGTGTAGAAGCAGAACCCAAAGGAACCATCACTTTAGAGCTCCTTGAGTGAGTTGGAATCAAGCCATTAAACTCTTTTCATGTCTGTCTACACTTACCCACAGACCTGACAGTATTGTTCTAAAGTTGGAGAAAAAGAAACCGCTTATAAACAGTGTAAATTATCCACTTTCTGTAAAAGAATTGAGAAACAGGACAATAGCCGTTGATTTTCTATATAGGTATATATACAAAGTTTAAGTTAATGTTTGGATCTATTTTAAGATAGAATGGAATCAATTATTCCATGGTAGTTCTTAAGGAAGATGCTTTCTGTACATCATAGTGATGTTTTCTTTATCCATCTTTCAAAATGAATAGATAAAGAAAATGTGGAATATATATATACAACGGAATACTACTCAGCGTTGTTGCCACTTGCAACAACGTGGATGGAACTAGACTGTATTATGCTAGGTGAAATAAGTCAAAGACAGGTGTCATATGATTTCAATCATATGTGGAATTTAAGAAACAAAACAGATAAACAGGGGAAAGGAAGGAAAAATACAATAAAAACACAGAGGGAGGCAAACCATAAGAGACTCTTAAATACAGAGAACAAACTGAGGGTTACTGAAGGGGAGGTGGGTGGGGGCATGGGTTAAATGGGTGACAGGCATAAAGGAGGACACCTGTTGGGATGAGCACTGGGTGTCATGTGTAAGAGATGTATCACTGTGTTCTACTCCTGAAACCAAGACTACAGTGTATGTTAACTAACTTGAATTCAAATTAAAAAAAAAAAAAAAAAATCAGTGTTCAAAAAAAAAAATTCACTTTGAGAAATATGGAAATAATAATTGTGTGGCCCATCTTAGACATTAGGTAAATTTGAAAGTTCTCTTCTTTTGCAATAGAAAAAAAAAAAAAGATTAGCATGGAATATCTTTCCATTTATTTGTGTCTTCCCATTTCTTTCATTAATGTCTTGTAGTTTTCAATGTACAGGTCTTTCACTTCTTGGCTAAATTTATTCCTAGGTCTTTTATTCTTTTTGATTTAGTTATAAATGGGATTATTTTCTTAATTCTGTGCTCACATATTATAAGAATTAATACTGTTAATATATCCATACTACCCAAAGCAATCCACAGATTCCATGTAAATCCTATCAAAATTCCAGTGACATTTTTCACAGAAACAGAACAATTTTTCTAAGTGTATATTTATTTATTTTTGAGAGAAAGAGATCACAAGCTGGGGAGGGGCAGAGAGAGAGAGGGAGATGCAGAATCTGAAGCAGGCTCCAGACTCTGAGCTGTCAGCACAGAGCCCAATGCAGGGCTCGAACCCACAAACCGTGATATCATGACCTGAGCTGAAGTTGGACTCTCAACCAACTGAGCCACCCAGACGCCCCTAGAACAAACAGTTTTAGAATTGGTGTGGAACCATAAAAGATCCAGAAGAGCCAAAGCAGTCTTGAGAAAGAAGAACAAAGCTGGAGGCATCACACTTCTTGATTTCAAACTATTTTACAAAGCTATGGTAATTAAAACAGTGTAGTATTGGCATAAAAACATAAAGATAAGACGGATGGAACAGAACAGCCCAGAAATAAATCTATGCCTATATATATGGCCAGTTTATGAAAAAGGAAGCAAGAATATACAATGAGGAAAGGACAGTGTCTTCAGTAAATGATGTTGGGAAAGCTGGACAGCCACATGCAGAAGAATGAAACTGGACAGTTTCTTACACAAGTTAACTCAAAATGGATCAAAGACTTGAATATAAGTCTATAAACTCCCTAGAAGAAAACATAAGTGATGAGGTCCTTGACATCAGTCTTGCTGAAGACTTTTTCAATCTAACATCAAAAGAAAAAGCAAAAAAAAAAAAAAAGTGGGACTACATCAAACAAAAAACTTCTGCACAGCAAAGGAAACCATCAACAAAATGAAAAAGCAACCTACAGAATGGAAGAAAGTATTAGCAAATCATATATATCTGATAAGGGGTTAACATCCAAAATATATAAAGAACTCCTACAACTCAATGGCAAAACAAACAATTTGATTTAAAAATGGGCAGAGCGGACCTGAGTAGATATTTTTCCAAAGAACACACAGAGTTGGCCAACACGTACATGAAAAAATGCTCTGCACCACTAATCATTAGGGAAATGCAAATCAAAACCATAGTGAGATACTGTTCCACACCTATTAGAATGACTCGTGTCAAAAAGACTAAAAATAACAAGTGTTGGTGAAGATGTGGGGAAAGGGGAACCCTTGTACACTGTTGGTGTGAATACAAACTTGTACAGCCATTCTGGAAAATAGTATGGAGATTCCTCAAATTAAAAACAGAACTACCACATTATCCAGCAATTCTACTTCTGGATATTTACCGAAGAAAATGAAGTGCCTATATGGAAGTGTCCATCCATGGATTAATAAAATGTGGGGTGTATATGTGTGTATATACACCATATACAACACAATGGAGTATCAGCCATAAAAATAAATGAAATCTTGCCATTTGCACAACATGGATGGACTTTGAGGGCATTATGCTAAGTGAAATAAGTCAAAGACAAATACTATATGAGCTCTGTTACATGTGGAAATAAGTAAGTAAATAAATAAAAATTTACAATAACAAAAAAAAAAAAGCTCTGGGGTACCTGGGTAGTTTCCATGTCAGTTAGAATTTCTGATCTTGTTCTGGCTGCCGGTGCAGATCTCAGGCTGTGAGAGGTCAGCCCTGAGCTCACACCTTCTGACTTCACAGAGTCTGCTTGGGATTCTCTCTGCCTCTCCCCAGAAAATGCTTGCATTCTCCCTCTCCCTCCTCCCTCCTCCCTCCCTCCTCCCTCTCCCTCCCTCCGTCTCTCTCTCTCAAAAATAATAAATAAACGCGTTAAAAAAAAAAAAAAAAAAAAACAAGCTCATACATACAGAAAGCAAATTGGTGGCTACCAATGGTACAAAGTAGGAGATGAAAGAAATGGGTGAACTATTTTTGTTTTTCACTTAAATAAATTAAATAAATTTTTAAAAGAAAAAAGTTAGATTTAAATTCAAAGGTGGTTCCTCTTTTAGTTAAAATGGAATGAGCACCCTATAGTCTATCTTTTCTACTGATTTTAACTGGTCAGAAGACATAAAGCAACTATCTGAGGACTCTGAAGAGTAAAGAATCACAGACTGGGGAGAGAAATAAGAACCTGAAGACCAATATGGCAGGTTCCTGGTTTTATTCACTCTACCCAACCACTGTCGCCTGGCTTACAGTCAGAGCAGCTCAGACCTTAGAACCAGACAGTGGAGGCAGACAGAAACAGTTTCAGAAGAAGCCATCTGTTTCTGGTTAGAACAGCTAAAAAGAGGCCTTTGCAGGATGTAGAAAGGAGGGAAAATCCTTTTTAGTTTTCTCTCCCAGCCTTGCCCCAGAGCAAGCTCCAGGTCCCACAGCTACATTCCTGGAGTGGCAGCAGCAGCCACAGAAGTACCTAAATCTCGGGAAAGGTCCTCCTTGGCCAGAGGAACTGGATAAAGGCCAAACAGAGCGAGGAGAATCCCTGTTACTTTTTCTCTTTCTTTTCTCTTTGCCCCAGAGGAAGACTCACTTGTGGGAAATGCAAGACAGAGCAGGAACGCTTTAAAACCCCAGCTTGCTAGGCAAAGGCCAGAGGAAAGACTCCTCTGGTATCTACAAGTATGGAGGGAGGAGGGAGATCAAGAAAGGGATCCCATTAAGCAGTGTATGAGTTCCAGGCTCACCCTTAACACTTATGCATTGCAGTGACCCGAAGTGGCACACCAAAGGCCTTTAGATCTGAACTGCTGTGTGGATCAGTGCCCAGGTCCCCAACTGGCTATTGAGGGGAAATAATAGATCTGAATAGCACTACAAAGGCTACAAAATTAAACTGACACCACAATCAAAGGCAACAGAAACTGGGTTGGGACTTGTGACCTGAAATTATGTTAACAGTACAAACAAAAATCAGTATTCTCTGGAACATTTTAAGGGTGCCCAGAATCGCCTATTATTAAAATGTCTAGAATACAATTCCAAAATCATTCGACCTACAAGGAAACAGGAAAATCTCAGTAACTCATGATGGAAAAGACAAACAATAGGCTCTAGCCCCAAGATGAGTCAGGTATTGAAATTCGTATCAAATACTTTAGAGCAGCTTTCATAACTGTGCCCCATGAGATAAACATGAACATGCTAAAAATGAATAGGAAGACATTTTAGCAAAGAAATAGAAGTATGTCTGGAAATTTTAATACTGAAAGTTATAGTGACAAATACAAAAACTGAGATAGGCTGAATGGAATGAAGCTGATAAAGTATATCCAGGGTCTGTATGAACACTACACAGTATTGATGAAAACAAAGGATATTTGGGTAACGGAAGATAGACTGTTTCAATATATTTGGAAGCCTTGATATAGTTAAGATGTCCATTCTCCCCTAATTGACCAATTAACAATATTAACAATCCAAATAATAAGTCCCAGGATGATTTTTTTGGTATAGAGAAGTTGACCAAAATTTGTGTGGAAAGGCAAATAAAAAAAGAATAGCCAAAACAATTTTGAAAAGGAAGAACAACCGATGGCCTCCCATTTCCCAATTTTAAGACTTAACTCTAAAAATCAAGAGATCAAGAAACCGTGGTATTGGCAAGAGGGTAGGGATGTACATCATTGGAACAGGTCAGTTGAGAAATTGACTTATAGAAGTATGGTCAGTTGATTTGTAACAAAGGTGCAAACACAGTTCAGTGAAGGGTAGTCCTTTCTACAAATAGTGTAGAAACAGTTTGACATGCGTATTTAAAAAATGAATCTCGGGGCGCCTGGGTGGCTCAGTCGGTTGAGCGTCCGACTTCGGCTCAGGTCATGATCTCGCGGTCTGTGAGTTCGAGCCCCATGTCCGGCTCTGTGCTGACAGCTCAGAGCTTGGAGCCTGCTTCAGATTCTGTTTCCCTCTCTCTGCCCCTCCCCCACTCATGCTCTGTCTCTCTCTCTCTCTCTCTCTCTCTCTCTCTCTGTCAAAAATAACATTTAAAAAAAAATGAATCTCAATTCCTATCTCCCACCTTATCCAAAAATGAACTCAAAATCATAGATAAAAATGTACAACTGTAAAGCTTTTGGAAGAAAACAGAAAATCTTTATGGCTTTGGATTAGGCACTGACCTCTTACAGATACATACCAAAGCACAATCTAGAAAAGGCAAAATTGATAAATTAGATTTTTATCAAAATGAAAAACTTTTGCTTTGTGAAAGACACACTTCAGAAAATGAAGAAGAGAAGCTGTAGATGGGTAAACATTTGCAAATCATATATCCAACAAAGGACCTCTATCCAGGATATATAAAGAATTCTCAAAATTCAGCACTAAGACAGTAGAGCAACTCCGTAAGAAATTGGGCAAACAACATGAACAGATACCTCACCAAAAGATATACATAAGTGGCAAACACATGAGAAGATCTCAATTGCCTTAGTCATTAGAGAAATGCAAAGTTATAATCACAGCGAGATACCACTATACATCTATTAGAATGGCTAAAATAAAAATTTTTTAAACAGATAATACCAGCTCCTAACAAGGATTTAGTATAACGAAGTATTGTTGGTGGGAATATAAAGCGGTAGTCACCCTGGAGAGCAGTGTGGCAGTTTCTTATAAAGTTAACGATAGGTTTACCGTGCAACTCAGCAGTCCCCTCCTATGTATTTATCTAGAGGATGAAAATTTATGTTGTCACAAAAACCTGCACACAAATGTTTATAACAACAGTATTAATAACCATGAAAAACTGGACGTTCCTCAAAAAATTAAAAATACAACTACCATACCATCCAGTAATTGCACCACTGGATATTTACCAGAATACAAACACACGAATTGAAAGGGGTATATGTACCCCGTGTTTATTGTAGCATTCTGCACAATAGCCAGATTATGGAAGCAGCTCAAGTGTCCATCAGACATATAGATGAAGAGATGTGTCCAAATTAATGTTATGCAGCCATAAAAAAAGAATGAAATTTTGCCAATTGCAACGACGTGGATGCATCTGGAGAGTATAATACTAAGCAAAATAAGCCAGTCATATTATTTCACTCATATATGGAATTTAAAAAACAAAGGAAGAAAAGAAACCAAACAATCAGACTCTTAACCATAGAGTACAAACTGATGGTTACCAGAGGGGTTGGGGGGTGGGAGCATGGGGGAAACAGGGGAAGGGGATTAAGACTACACTTATGATGAGCACTGAGGAATATATGGAAGTGTTGAATCACTATACTGTACACCTGAAACTAACATAACACTGCATGTTAACCACACTGGAATTAAACTTTTTAAAATAAATTTAAAAAATAACAATAATAATTGCTCAAAACTAAAAGCAACCCAAAATCTTTCAGTGAGTGAATGGTTAAATGTGGCACATCCATACAGTGGAATACTACTCAGAAATAACAAATTACTGATACATGGGATTTCAAATGCATCATAACAAATGAATCCCAAGAAGTTGCATAATATATCATGTCCTGTATATGGCATTTGGGGAAAGACCGTGGAGAACAGATGCACTGTATAAGGATGAGGGATGAATTAGGGATTCAGGAATTAGGTAGAGGGGAGACCTTGACTGTACCAGGGGCATGAGTGAATTTGGGAGGCTGTGACTGATCTATGTTCCGATTGTGGTGGTTACAAAGGTCTATCCATGCATTAAAGCTCCTAGAATAATATGCCAGCAAAAGTGAATTTTGCTGTTTGTAAATGAAAAATACATGTAAAAAACACAAATGTATGAAGATGTGAAACAAATGTTTTCAAAAGGAAAGGATGTGTAAAATTGGTGCTTATTGACATAAGTTTTTCTCTTTGGTGAGCTGGAAGGTACTCTTCTGGTTAGTCGTAAATAGACCTTCATTTTTATTTTCCAACTCCAATTTTTTTTTTTTAATGTTCTCACCAAACTTTTGAATGCCTAAGATGAGGACAGGCATACATAGGAGGTATTGAAGGCCTAATTCCAAACTACTGCAGTAAAGCAAGTCGGATGAATTTTCTGGTTTCCCAGTGCATTTGGAACTTATGTGAGATCTATATTTATAGTCTTATTAAGCGCACAATAGCATTATATCTAAAACAAAAAAAAATCCAAATACATCTTAATATCTTACTGCTAAAAATGCTAGCTGTTTGAGCTTTCAGTGAGTCATAATCACAGATTACTATAACATATATAGCAATAAATGAAAAACTTTGAAATACCGTAAGAATTGCCAAAATGTGACCCAGAGACATGAAGTGAGCAAATGCTATTGTAAAAATTATGCCAATAGACTTGCTCAATGCCCGGTGCCACAAACCTTCAATTTGAAGAAGAAAAAAAAAAAAAAAAAAAAAAAAAAAAAAAAAAAAGCCGCAGTATCTGCCAAGTACAATAAAACAAGATACACTGGTATATACATAGTTTATTTGGAGTTCGGTGAAAGTTTAGGTTTTTCTCTTAAGCTTCTATATCCTTTTAAGAAACAGCAAGAGTAGTTAGACAATAACCCATTTTATTGTGAGTTTACATCAATAGAGGTTTCAAAGTCTTAGAGCTTAGTTATCTCCAGCTGTCTGATTTGTTATCCTGAGTCACACTTTTGAGACTTTTTAAACAAAGTAACACTTCTCATTTATTTTTCTGGGCTTTGGGTTTTTTGTTTTTTAGACACAGTGAAGCATACACATGGACAAATCCTACCTGCTGCGTACATAACATCATCGTGGGTAAACTCTGGATTGAGCAGTACGGCAATGTGGAAATCACAAACCACAAGTAAGACACTTTAGGGGGTTTATGTATCCGTTCAGCTGTCATCACCCCGTTCCGGTGGGGGTCTTTGTTTTTTTCAAAAGCTCTAGTAGAGCCTGATGATAATTTAAGAACCAGGCAGTTCGACCCTTGGGTAAATAGAAGCCCATCCATTTAATGAATGCAAGTTTCTGACCAGGGACGACTGGGCGAACTCTGAGCTTTTACAGATGAAATTGTAATTTCATCCTCAGTTCATTTTGCTTATAGTGCTTAGTTTGTATTATTTGCAGAGGAGGTGGCGTGGGGGGGACAGGAAAGTTAAAAAGAGCTGGGTTCAAAGCCTACTTTGTGACCTTAGGCAAGTATCTTACTCAGCTCAGGCTGCTCTAACAGACTGCCACGCAAACCAGCTGGCTTAAACAGTAGAAATTTATTTCTCACAGTTCTGGAGGCTAAAAAGTCCAAGATCAGGATGCTGACAGCTTTGATGTCTGGTGCAGGCTTTCTCCCTGGTTCGCAGGGGCCATCTCCTCGTATCCTGACATAGTGGACACAGCTCATGTCTCGTGTCTTTTAAAAGGGCACTGGGGCGCCTGGGTGGCGCAGTCGGTTAAGCGTCCGACTTCAGCCAGGTCACGATCTCGCGGTCCATGAGTTCGAGCCCCGCGTCGGGCTCTGGGCTGATGGCTCAGAGCCTGGAGCCTGTTTCGGATTCTGTGTCTCCCCCTCTCTCTCTGCCCCTCCCCCGTTCATGCTCTGTCTCTCTCCCAAAAACAAATAAACGTTGAAAAAAAAAATTTTTTTTTTTTTAAAATAAATAAAAGGGCACTAATTTCATTCATGAGGACTCCACCCTCATGACTGAATTACCTCCAGAGACCGTCACTTTGGGAGTTAGGGCTTTGACATGTGAATTTGGGGAGACACAGACATTGACTCCATAGCAGCACGTCTCTTGTTCTTTATGAACCCTGCTCACCTTTCTTAATGGTGGGTCCAGTACTAATTGAGGATTAGTCGTAACAACCACTGTGTGAAGCCTGACATGTGTTAGAAAATCAGTAAACAGCAACTGCTTTAGAAAGGTCACCTTCCTCATTATTCTCTACTGCTGCTTCTGTGGTAAATGGTCATCTGAGCTTAATATCTTCTTCACAGGACTGGGGACAAATGTGTGTTGAATTTTAAGCCATGCGGCCTTTTTGGTAAGGAATTACATAAAGTCGAAGGCTACATTCAAGATAAAAGGTAAAGTGTCCATTTTAGGTGTTGGGTAGTATAGGTGTCATTTGCTAAATAAAATGTCACTATTAAAATCTGCCATAACCTAGGAAACAAACATTTCAGTGAGTTGAAAATTTTTTCTTCTACAAGGAAAGGTCTGTTTCTTTAAAGAATCTGATTCATAATCATTTTCATGATGATTCAGTTACAGCAAAACACGGCTTTAATTGTTGGCTGAATATGAATGTCTCTCGACAGCAAGAAGAGGCTCTGTGCCCTCTATGGGAAGTGGACCGAGTGTTTGTACAGTGTGGACCCTGCCACTTTTGATGCTTACAAAAAAAACGACAAGAAAAATACTGAAGAGAAGAAAAACAGCAAACAGGTGAACATGCTGTAAGGCGGTACCGGAGGAATCCTTGGGCTTTTGAATTTGTACTAATCGTTCTGGAGGCGGCCCGTTATTGGGTCACAGTGTGCTCTTTTTTTTTCTGGTTGCTAACGCGTGTAATTTTTCTCCTCGGATCTTCCTTGTTTAATTGAGGTAGAGTTGACAGACATCCTTGAATCTTTTGAATGAACAGATAACCTGCCCCAGTAGCAACTGTGCGGCATAAGCTTCATGGAGTACGGCCGCGTGCTACTCTTGTGGCTGTGTGAGGTTATGCGTGAGGCGTTGATTACTCGAATTCACATAGCTTTGGAAAGTGGGAGTTCATCTTGGGACGGATGTTCCTTTCCTTCTTTCTGTTTATGTGCGTTAGAAGTTGAGATCAGGGGCGCCTGGGTGGCTCAGTCGGTCAAGTGTCGACTCTTGGTTTCAGCTCAGGTCATGAGCTCACAGTCTGTGTGTTCGAGCCCCGCGTTGGGCTCTGTGCTGGTTGCACGGCTCCTTGCCCCTCCGTTGCTTGAGTGCGCTTGCTCTCTCACTCTCTCAAAAAATAAACATAAAATTTTTTTCTAAAAAGGAAGTTGAGGTCACTTGAATGTTTAAAATTTCCTCCAAAATTATTTCCTACGTTTTCCAGCCTGTTAGCAGTTTTGTTGCTCTTGCGTGCGCGCGCGCGCGCGCTCTCTCTCTCTCTCTCTCTCTCTGTCTCTGTCTCTCGTCTAAACCACTGAAGTTAAGACCAGTGCAGTTAAGGGAGTCATTCCCCACTCACCTTTCTTCCTCATGAGACTGTTCATTTCCCACATGGAGGGCACACAGCTGCTTGTCCCGGGGCCCAAGGAGGCTCTCGTGTTCGGCGCGCTCCTGTTCCTTTCCTTCAGGCAGAGGAGCAGAGGGCTAAAAAAAAAGAGTGCACGTGTTCCGACAGGAGATATTTGAGGACTGGTTGCTTTCCGGGAGCTGGCGGGGTAGTTAAGAGCACAAGCTCTGGGTAGAAACCCTCCCCGGCACCGAGGAGCGGGTAGAGTCAGGTTTCGTGCCTTCTCCCTGGCCTTCATGTGTGAAACGGGGATACTCCTGGTACCTGCTTTGTCAGGTGAGTTGACGACTGCTGGAAAGGGCTCGGAGTAATACCTGCTCATAGTCAAGACCACTAAATACCAAGGTCCCTCTGCTCAGAGCACGTGGGCGTGCCAGGGGCCGAGCACCAGCAAGCAGGCAGGCTCCCTGGCTCCCCTTGTGGGAACCTCGTGCTTGTGAAAGTTAAGAAGCCCCAATCCTCCTCAAAAATAGGTGTAGTTTTTAGTGAGTTTCTTTGTAATTAAGTTAACCATGGTCCTGAGGCACAAGGAGTTTTATTAAAATGTCCCGGCATGCCGCTCTGCTGTGGCTTTGACTCTTCTCTTTCTATCTCCCTGCATCTCCGGGCACTGTTCTGCTCTCCTCCTCACACCCCACGTCCGTCCCGCCTGCCTTTCCTTCCTTCTGGGAGATGTGCTGACGCTTCTCCGCAGCTGGAGGAGGACCGAGGGGGCCAGAGAAGGAAATGCTCCAGGACACCGGGAGCCCTGGCGGCCACTCGGGCCAGTACGAGGCCACATGGCAAAGACACGCACTTGCCAACGTACGTGGCATCCACCCTCCTTTACGGAGTTGGGGCAGAGGACCATGGACATTGGCAGCATCCCAGAAGATGTCCCTCATGTCCCGTGAATCCTGCCAGTCTTTGTAGATCAGTGCCCTTGGAGAGAGAGATTATTCTCACCCACTCGTGCCTTGTCCACTTCCCCTTCCTGTGTGCACGGAGCTGCTGCAGGCCCATGTACCTGAGCACATTCAGGTGCCAGGGCAAGTTTGTCGTCATCGGTGCTGTCGCCTCCCTGCTGCTGTTTTGTAAGCCGTATGTTCCCTGAAGTATCTCGGTGACTGTGTGACACTGAGGGTATTACCTAACCTTCCAAAGGCGTGAAGTCCGTGTACCTACAGAGCTGCGGAGCTCCTGTGTCCTTATAGGTTTATTATGGAAGGATCAGCACCTCGGGAGCTTCTGGCACGGTCTGCCCGTGCGGGATAGCCAGAGGAATCGTTCGTTTCCTCATTAGCCTAACATCCGTTTAAATTCTCTTTTTATTGAATGCTTTTAGGATCCCTACTGGTTTTGTGTCTTTGATCCATTTTAGTTAACTGCCCCAAGAATTTAACCTTTTCTTATTCTCATAATGCTCCAGTAAATATTCCAGCAAGTTACTTTTCTTTAAAAAAAAAAAAAAAATTAAAAAAGCTTTAGGAAGAATAAGACACTGTAGTAAAGAGTGCTGATGAGAGTAGTGCTACCTTAGCGCACATAACACTAGCTGGCACAGCACACACAAAGCTCAGGGCCTCCTAGCCCCTGGTCAGCAAGTGTTTGTGGACTCCCTGCACCGCTGGAGAGAGTCCCGGCTCCCCTGTCCCCCACCCCCCGCACCGCTCACTGTATGTGGGAAACCATGGTTGTTTTACAATTTGTAAGTGTACTGTTGTAAAACGTTTTAATTTTGTCCATCGGTTGGCTCTTCTAGATGAGCACTTCTGAGGAGTCGGACGAGATGCCAATGCCAGATTCTGAAAGTGTGTTTGTGATCCCTGGAAGTGTTCTCCTGTGGCGAATAGCCCCACGGCCTCCAAACTCTGCCCAGGTGAGACGGGGCTGCTTCTGTTCGGTGCCGAGAGCGCGCCTTCCAGGCACGTGCAGGGCCAGCCCAGCCAGACCACAGAAGGGTGCGGCCTGTCGCCCCAGTGCTCCTCAGCCGTCCCTCTGCTGGCTTCTGTCTGCCAGTTTCCCTTGTCACCTGAGACTCTGCGTTCATGCCGTCCGTCCCTTCTGGGGTCTGGCTGGGAAGATGTCGGGGTGGAACTCTTGGGGGCTTCTTTAATGATAACTCAGGAGTAAGACTGGCTCTCGTCAAATACAGGGTGGTACAAATACTTCAGTAGTAAGCCCACAGATCCAGCGAGTTATGATTTTAATGAAGTAAAAAGAACATCAATGTGGCTTATAGTTCAAGTTGACGGTGATGGAGGATATTCATCGTGTGCAGCCTGCGTGGGGATCTCTCTGGGCCAGACACCCCAGGTGGGGCAGACTTGAGTGAAAATGCTGAAGACAAGTGGTCAAGAAGGCGGGCCATCATTACCGCAGACTCAGGGAGTCATTGTCAAGTCATTCTGTCTTGAGGGGCTTTCGGGTTGCAGTACACCTTGCTGCATGTTAATTTGAACATTTTTGCTGCTTTTCAGATGTATAACTTTACTAGCTTTGCAATGGTTTTGAATGAAGTAGACAAGGAAATGGAGAGCGTGATTCCTAAGACAGACTGCAGGTTACGGCCTGACATCAGAGCCATGGAGAATGGAGAAATAGGTAACAAGTGTCTGGTGGTGAAATGGTGTAGATAGATGTGGGGGAGGGGGTCGTGTGATCAGTAGCATCATTGTGATGATACGAGCATTTTTAGTCTGAATTCAATATAAATTCAGTAGCTTTCATTTAAAATTTGGAAATCTGAGGTAGACTTTAGTAGCTTAGATTCATTACTTCAGTGATCCTCCCTGATGGTTTAATATTCTACATATGGCCAGAGGCATGTCTTAAATGTCAGAGGGGAATTTGAGAAAAATAATAGCATTCTTATCAACTTTAAACTATATTCTAATTATTTCACTGTATGTTTAAGAACCCAAATAATACCTCGTGAGCCTCAAAGAAGAGCGTGGCCTCAGTTAATTACAACATTTTTACCTGATGTTAAATCTGTTCTAAATCAGTGGTTCTCAAAAGGGAAGCATTCCCCGCCTGCCCCCCCCCCCCCCCCCCCCGGCCGGAGGATGTGCGGCAGTGTCCGGAGAGTTTGTCACGTCTGGGGAACTGCTGCTGGCATCTAGTGGCTAGAAGCTGGGGGTGCTGCCAGAGGTCCTGCAGCTCACAGGACGCCCCACAAGCACCCCGGCAGTGTGATGATGTGTCGGGGACACTAGGGTTCAGAAGCCCTGTTCTAACCACATGCCCCAATGCTGTCCTTGAATGATCAGTGAGACAGGATTTTTGAAAATTGTTTGAATTTCTTATGATAGAATCTGAAGCTCTGTGAGGTCTCACCAAGGATTAAGAAAATTTCACATTGATTCAGTTTTTCCACCCAATTTTCCATTGAAGCTTTTGAACATAATTATTTTGGCCTTAAGAATAAGCAGGTTCTTAGGGCACCTGGGTGGCTCAGTCAGTTGGGCATCCGACTTCGGCTCAGGTCATGATCTCACAGTCTGTGGGTTTGAGCCCCGCGTCGGGCTCTGTGCTGACAGCTCAGAGCCTGGAGCCTGTTTCAGATTCTGTGCCTCCCTCTTTCTCTGACCCTCCCCTGTTCATGCTCTCTCTCTCTCTCTGTCTCAAAAATAAATAAATGTTAAAAAAAAATTTTTTTAAAAGAATAAGCAGGCTCTTTTTTTTTTTTTTTATGTTTATTTATATTTGAGAGAGAGACAGAGTGTGAGTGGGGGAAGGACAGAGAGAGAGGGAGACACAGAATCCAAAGCAGGCTCTAGGCTCTGACCTGTCAGCACAGAGCCTGACATGGGGCTTGAACTCACAGATGGTGAGATCATGGCCTGAGCCGAAGTCGGACACTCAACTGACTGAGCCACCTGGATGCCCCAAGATTAGCAGGTTCTTTTGGTAAATGAAGAAGCTGTTTAGGACTAGACTGTAGAAAGAGACGACTGGGCCTTGAGTGACCCCTCTGCCTCTCACTACCTTGGGTGTGTGTGAAAATTTTAACGTTTGTTTTCTAATAAGACTGAGATCGTGCGAATACATGTAGATGGTGCTTGTCCAAAACGTCACTGTGCTTAGTACTGTGCCCGGCAGGCTCTACCTGGAGAATAACGGTTTTCCATTAATGTTCATACCTTAGATCAAGCTAGTGAAGAAAAAAAACGACTTGAGGAAAAACAAAGAGCAGCCCGCAAAAACAGGTCCAAGTCGGAGGAGGACTGGAAGACAAGGTGCGTGTGGGGCACCCCAGGCTATTGTGGGGGGCGGGGCACTCAGATGCAGATCTGCTAAGCGAGGCCTGACACAAGCCCTGCCAGCGTTCCCAGGTGTGAGAGAAAAGCGGCAAGACTTGCATGTGTGACACAGGAAAGGGACTATCTGGAAATTAAGGTTACAATATTGCCACACAGTTAACTGGAGGTGAGTCGTTTAAGCCAACCGTCTGCCTTCCTTGTCTGGCCACATCCTGCCCTTTTCGTTATTGTAAGAGGGAAGGTAAATCTGGAATTAACAGATTTTGGCATGAAAGTAGGTTTGGAGCTATTTTCTTATAGTACACGTGAGTAAACGTACAGGGCCGTTTGCTGATATGTTTATCATGTGTCCAAGATATTTAGACAGTGCCTTTATTCTTCCAAACACAAGGGATTAGACATGTACCAGAAATACAATATGTATAAAGTAACCTTGGATTCCATTCAGAAATAGAAAGTGGCCATAAAATTTCTAAGTTTTGAACTTTTTTTTTAAAGAGGAGTTTTCAGAGTCCCTGTATTGAGTAATAGAATCACTTGGAAACAGGAATAGAAAAAAACATTTTCTACGTATGTATCACATGATAGAAACCATTGTCCCATAACTCAAAGTTATTAAATGAGTTGCAGAGCCAATATGGGCGTACTTTTGCAAGCATTTCAGTAGACATTGGTAGCCCTTTTGCATATGAGAAATAGATAATTATTAGAACTAGAAATGACCTTAGATTTCATCCAGTCTAAGTGTTTTTGGACGTGGTTAGCATAAAAAGCTTTTTTGCCAATGAATGCATAAAGAATCTCCAAATACAGAATGTGTGGAACCAGAGCTGCGGTGGTCGGGTGAGGAGTAGGGGCAGGACCTTGGCCACCCCTCACCTTCTCCCACCCTGTATGTTCCCCAGCTCCCTAAAACTCCGTGGAATACAGTTTGGAAAGTGGCCCAGAAATCCCTTTGTTGTTCAGAGGAAAACAAATGCTGGTGTATTTCATTTAGGGGACTTGCTCACGGCACACCTCTAGTGAGCCGCAGGCCTGTGATTAGAACCCTCCACCTTCATTAATCCTTAAGGAAAAGCTACATTGCTTTCCTGTGATCCCTTTTGAAAAGACTTGACTCATTTTATCATAATTTCTAGTCTCTTTTTGCAGAAAACCCCACTTTTGTACTATATTTCTCATTATTAACTCCTTTATTTTTCTGGTCGTGTTTTCAGGTGTACAATGTAAGCGAAAAGTCCACTAAGAATTTTTACTGTCAAAGTCGTAGCATTCAGAAAGTAATGAGCTTTAAATAGCTCTGTAGTCGCCTGAAAATAAAACGAGGGGCCGCGTTTGTGGGCTACAATTTGACGCCTTTCTACCACACTGTCTCTTAGCATCAGTAGTACTTATATGAATGTACCTCTTTAAAATGATCCTACCGACCCTTTGTCCAAAGAATATGTGCTTTGAGCTCTTTTTTAGTGGAGGTGGGAAGAGTGCACACTCACGGACTTGACTCTTCTCAGGATTGACGATGTGTGTTGGAAAGGCATGGTTCAGTTTGGCTAGGGTAGGATGGGGCAGGACAGTTTATAAAGGAACATTCTCTGCTGGGTTAGAGCTAACTAGCCTTCAGAGTTATCAAACCGGGAAACTTATTAAAATCCGTCTCAAATTCCTCCGAGCTAAAAGCTGACATTCCTGCTAATACTGGTTTCACTCGAAGAGAGGATAGGCTCCCAAATTTTTGGCTGTCAACTATGGCCCCTGCTTTTGAAAAGGCCTGCTTATAATCCTGACCTATTTTCTTAGAGGAAATCAGTATGGTACAGGGAGGAGGTAGAGGGACCGGTGAGAGAGGATTTTTAAGAGGAGGGAGGCGGGTGATGAGGCCAAAAAAATTGATGAGGCTGTCTCCCTGATCATCTGAGCATCATGCAGAATTCACATTTTATAGAATGCTACGTTCCTGATTCAGACCTGCAGACTCCAAAATACTAAAAGCACAGAAATCTTACCTTCCTCTTCCCATTTTACCTGTGCCTAAAATGTGTGAGTTTAGGACAAATTAACTGGACTTTGTGGTCTCTGTGTGTGAGCGGAGGTTTCCAGACACAAGTGCTCAAAATTAGAGCTAGCGGTTGAGGGGGGAGACTCTAATCCCACGCATCAGACCATCGACTCTGAGGTGTGCTCATCTCCAGTGTGGCATTCGGACCCCTCCAAGAGCAGGCAGGCTCTAAGGGGAGCTTGCAGTCCTGGTCTTCAGAGAACTGGGCTTATCCCATGGCACCGTGGCCTGAGGCTTGGATTAGTTTTTAAATTATTTTTTACTTGATTTGGATTTTCCTGCTTTTCTGAAGTGCTTGACTTTGCTAAGCCTAACTGCAAAAGTGCTTTTACTGCTTGGACTTTTGAGACCAAAAGCTGTGTAACTATATACTTCATACTGTTAGAATTTTGTGACTTTGATCAAATAACAGGTTTTTAAATTATATTTCCAGTCTGCTTAACTTAACCAAATCAGATCTATCTTGATCATTTAAAGTAGACTCAAATTTTCTAAGTAGGAAAAAGTCCCAAAAACTGAATAGAGAATTTAGATATTAATATTCTAGAAAATGTGGTCCAATGCACATTTACTTTGTGGTCCTCCAAGGAATCTGCCTAATCTGAAGCAGTCTTTTCTCTTAGAGCCTTTTGTGCTACTGTAGGGATAATAGGGACATTTGAGACTTACCCAACACATGTAACTTCATTTTGTTAAAAAAATTTTTTTTAATGTGACACAAATTTGTGAACCTTTTGAGCAAGTAATTTTGCATTTCCATTACCTGAAGAACGCTGGGGCTATCGGAAACAGTGATGTGATGTTTTTTAAAGGGTAAGAAAATGATTAGGGCACCTCTGTGCAGAACTAGAAAAGACAGATACGGATGTTAACCGCTAGATGCAACCTAAGAATTCGTATTAGCCTGGAGAAAATGGAGACCTAGGAAGGTGAGGACTAGTCTCAGCAGATTAGGTGTGGCACAGTAGATTGGAAAGATCATGGTCTTTAAAATCAGACTTCTCTGACATTCCACTTCTGCTTTGAGTTTACGGGGCATCAACTCTGAAGCCAGTAGCTTACCTGTTATTCTGGTATGTTGCCAAAGTTCATAAAAGTTCGTTTCCTTGTCCTAATTCCTTAAACCTTAAAAAAAAAAAAAAGCCTCCTGGTGGAAGATAATGTGGCTAGAGAGTGAACAATTAGACAAATAGTATTGTTCTTATCCCACTAGACAGAAGATCCTACTTCTGTTGAGTACTCTTGCTGAATGCTGTGAAAAAACTCACGAACCTTTTGTGTGGTATCATCATATCTTTTGGACTCCTACTCTCTATAGTATATAGGCGGTCTCTAAAAACAATAAGACTTCTTTAAAAGTCTCTTTGGAAATCCGTAACTCAGGGCGAAGTGGCAGGTACCCTGTGATTTCAGCTTCCCCCATCAATCTTGTGCTTTCTTTTTAAACAGGTGGTTCCATCAAGGTCCTAATCCCTACAATGGAGCACAGGACTGGCTTTACTCGGGCAGCTACTGGGACAGAAACTACTTCAATTTGCCTGACATTTATTAAAATGCACACAAGTCAGGGTGTTTGGCTAATCTATAAATAAGTCTTAAACCTATGTTTTTAAATTTTTTCCTTGGTTTCTACTCATCTTTTAAAAAAAGAAAAAACCTGCTCTGAGATAACTTGCATTTCACTCAACAAAAGTAGGGCATGAGGTGATATTGGTGAGGAAAGTCAGGAAAAATGGGTAATTTTGCTATCCAAACTTACTTCTTTGGAACACTGTTTTAGAGAGGTAAGAGAAACTGTGTGGAGAAAATGCTTTTTATGGTTGCTGTTGCCATATCTACTGAAAGTTTATACCCAACTGTAACTTTAGCTTTATGGAATTATATAGTAGTCCCAAATCAAGTTATTTTCAATATTTTTATGCTGTCATGCTTGAATGTTTTAGATGTGACTTTGAAATGTTTAGAACTCTTCTATACAATGTTAATGTGCTCAAATGTAGAGAAGGTTATGTCATTGTGTAAAGACTACGTTAAAAAGATGGCTTTTCTTTGTACTAATCCTCTCAATTTTACCTCTTCCCACTTCCAAAAAGAAAAACTTGTTCCTGATTTGAAAATTCTAAAAAATTAAACTGGAAAAGGTATTTTAGTGCTCTGAATTTACTTTTACAATTTTCTGTAATCATGGTCCTTAGAATTAAAAGGTGTTTGAATTGAAAATTTGTATAAAATCTAGTTCACAAAAATGCCCTAGAAATAGATTCTAATCACCATCATTACATAATGACAAACCTTTATAAATGCTTCAACTTTTGTGGCAAAGGCCACCTGAGACGTGAAGTTGCACTCATGTATTATAAGTACCAAACTATACAATAGGGGGTCTTGTGCATTGCAAGTACGTAAGGCCCCCGTGTACTTAAAATCTGTATGGAGACCTACTATACAGTAGCTTTGCCCCTTTCATTGGGGTACATTAATCTAATGGTATTTATCCACCCAACCCCGGACTGAGATCTTGCTCCAAGGGGCTTTAGGTAGCTGCCAGTAAATTATTTTAATTGCTGTCTTGAAGTTAACAAGTGTTACAATGAAATAATCTACCTGATGCTAAATAAAGGCTTTAGAATGTTCCCCAAAAGTGTGGTTTCTTAAACTTTCAAATATACTGATGTTGGCAATTGGTAGGATCCTAAATTATCGAGTGCCCGTGCACAGAGCCCTCGTGGTCCTGCCGTCCGCGGGGCCACAGAGCTAACCAGCACAGGCTCAGGAGGCAGTCAGCACTGGGGAGTGTTATCTGGGTAAATACAGTATTACACTGAGGTGCCCCCTGTATTCCCCTGGTGTGCACACCAAACATGGACTTCCCAAGTGGGAATGCCCACCTAGGAAATGTGTGAGGAGATGTGTTAATAGAGTGAGAGTTTTTTCTTCTACGGTGTATATACAGAGTTGGAAAAGGCTCTGCAAGTCTGCAAAGATTTATGGCCTTCTGTAATCGGTTGTCCTGAATTACAAAATGAGAACACAAGGCTTTATGCTTGCATGAAGTTTATTGACAAATTACACGGGGTGGCAGACTCCACCTTGAACGTTGACTCAAATGGCGTCACTACTGGCATCTGTTAGGAATGCAAACAGTGAATTGTTTAATCATGAAAATGAACAAGTAAAAAGAACGGCAGATCAGAAATACGAGGTCTGCACTCTGTCATTAAATTCTTATCTACTCATTTACCTGTATTTGCAGCGAAATATCCCAGCATTTCATGCTGAGAAAGCCATTTTGACAATTCTGCTAAAAGTCTACAAAGGGGGTGATGAATAAGGGCACATGGGCCTAAGATTTGATAACTGAGTTGTCTCCTTAAATGCGATGTAGTATTCGAACCTGCCTGTGAAGGAAATGGAGCTTTTGCCCATCAGATGTTCAGCTTGAAATTCCCACAAATTGTTTTAAGGAGCAGAACTCGTGGGGGTGGGGGTTTAACAGTTGCATTATACCTCCTTAACTCGTGTCTCTGCTCCCTCTAGTGACCTCCAGCTCTGGCTTCCTACTGAGCTTTTAACCCCAGTCTCTCTCCTAGGGACACAGGGGCCCTGACTCATAGGGTCCTCTCTTCACAGCTCCAGCGTCCTCTTAGGTGCTGTCCCGGCTCTTCCCAGCCGCTCTCATTTTGGCCTCCTTGGGGTGTCTCAGACTCCTGCTCTTTTAAGCCCTAGGCCTGGTCTGTGGGGTCTCTACAAGGCTGGCTCCTTGCACTCACTCAGTGGTCAGTTTGCATCTGGGCCTGAACACCTGTCAGCATCTTGTTTGGTTCACCCTACTTCACATGGTGTAATTACCTCTGGTGCTTTCCCCAAGGGGGAAGGTCCCTGGTGTGCCCTGCCTACCCACCTCAGGAAGGAGGGACGAGCACAGGACGTGGCATTAAGTACTGGGTAGATAAAGAATTTAAAGATGATCTGTGAGTGATAAAACTGTCTTATCCACAGTGCATTCCAGTTTGGGCTCTTCAGGGCGTTTCCAGACTCCTACTGTGTAAATCTATAAATCTTCACTCTAAGAGGGAACAAACATACTGCTCTACACACAATCTCTTCTCTCTCTCCAGTTGTCCCCAGTGCTCATGTCTTGTCTCTGCTCCGACCCACCCTTTAACACACCAATTGGATTATACAGTTCCTACAGAATGTCTTCTTATAAATCTACCCCTTTTCTAGTATCTTCCAGGGGCTAGATGAAGAACCCATATTCCCAAGGTGATCGAGTGGATCGGTTCATGTATTAGGCACCAAGTCCGAGTCCTCACGGTGCAGTACACACACTGTGCATTTATTAGCAATTGGGGGCAATGAACTTGGAGATAGTAACCTCATCAAATTTGAGTATACACCAACTCCTTGCATATCTCAATGCAATTTTCATAAACACCTCAACCTCCAGATCAGCAAATCAAACACTAGGAGCAAGCCAAGGCCCACACATTATGGTAGGAAAACGCACCTACCAGTTCCCAGTTTCTGCTCTGCGGACATGGGCGGTGGTCACGGTTATCTCTCCAGCAATACCATAACTTCCACAGGGGGTACGTTTGTCACCAGATCCTGAACCTTTTTTGGCTACATCTTCTACTGGGAATGCGACAGAGAGAAAAACTGGGCTTTGTGGCCTGGGGACATCTTGTCCACTTGGCGGAGGACTACCATTCTGGGGGTTTGGGGTATGTTTCTGGAATTTCTGATCTGCAGGAACAGCGATGGGTACTTGGACTGCAGTGTATCTCTTCAAGGCATCTGACTGAGAAACAACAGCATGTCCAGGAAGAGGTTTCCAATCCTGAGCTTCCTGAACATTTGAGCCTACTAAAATAAAAGGTGGGGCACTGGTCTTCTTGCTGTCGTCCAGCATCACGTAAGTTGGAGAAGTAACTTTCGGTGGCTGCTGCAGAAACTGTGGATCCTTAGGATTAGATAAATAGAGGGTTGCTTGGGGGAAAGGCACAGGTGCAGGTGGCGGTGATGGGCGACTTTGTTGATTCATATCAGTTAGACAATAAAGGGTCCACATGTTAGAATATGGTGGTGGTTGTCCTGCTTCGCTTGCTGCTATGGCTATAAAAAAAAAAATTTGCAGGCATTAAAGGTTTGGTCTCTGTATCAGGCGCTATGCACAGAAATGTCTTTATAAGTTTACATATAAACAGCTGGAGCAGTAAATATGTGCCATAAAGCATGCTAGAGAGAGGGCTAAATAGTGTTTGGTAATGTGAAAGAAGAGCGGTTCTGTCCAGTTGGAAAACGAGAACAGTGTTGGGACAGCAAGCGGCAGGGGCACTAGAGTCGTGGCTAAAGAAGCAATCTCATGATAAGTGCCGCTTCGAGGGACACCCCCATTAGATGTGGCTGTCACAGCATCCTCAGAGAGGACTTTACCAAACTAGTGGCTTTACCAAAACAATCAACTGAAGGGCGTGTGAAGCCACTGAAAAAGTGTTAATGCAGCTGCAGAGTGACTTTTTCTTTACTGAAGTCTGCATGGGGCATCATCTTTTGATTACATTATCAGTTATCTCGGGCCCTTCACAGGCACCATCATCTCCCATTAATTTGTCCCCACGTACAATCATCTCATGATCTAGGACTCAGAACCCCAGAGAGCACCCCTTTTAGGCGAGGCTTGAGGTCAAAAGTCCTAGGTGGCAGGATGAGGCCTGTTGGTCTCAGAGGGATTAAGAAAAAAGAGGTCTAGGGGCACCTGGGTGGCTCAGTCGGTTAAGCATCCAACTTGGGCTCAGGTCATGATCTCACGGTTGGTGAGTTCGAGCCCCACGTCGGGTTCTGGAGCCTAGAGCCTATTTCATATTCTCTGTCTCCCCCTCTCTCTGCCCCTCCCTCACTCGCACTCTGTCTCTCTCTGTCTCAAACATAAATAAACATTAAAAAAAAAAAGGTCTAGGGAGTGCCATCCATCTAACCCCCAGGAATCTATGATGTCAAGTTTGACTTGCCTAGTGAAGACCATACTGTCGTGGAGAGCTGAGTCGCAGAAGATGGGATGGGGGACGGAGGCGAAACTCCTTCCTAATAGAGTTTGCCCAGAGTGTGCTAAGTTCACCTTGTGAGCCCTGGGCCTTGTATCCCCGGTGTAGCTTTTCTTCTTCCCCAGAAAATAACACTATGCACATGATTAAACTGGTAAGTTTTCAGTAGCTTCAGATACTGTCAATTGATCCTTCTGCAAAGCCAATTAAAAATATGGACAAGCCCAGTCTTCCATTTGAAATATCCTCGTAGTGCTTTAGAAAGGGCGAGGCCCTGAAAACACTCGGGATGCCAGTGCTGCATAAACCACGAGTGTAGTGCCCATCCTGCGTGCCAGCTCCCAACGCTGCCCTCTGCCTTCTCAGCTGTGCAGGACCCCGTCACACTGCCAGACAGAATTTGATCCCCGAACACCTGCTTTGGTAACACTTGACCATTCTGGCTCTGGGAAGAGCCGCAGTTTAGAGTGTTTCTGCAAAAGGAATGGGGGAGGTTGGCTCCTGTATGACCCATCCGTCCCTAAAAGGGAGAAGACAGGAGGCCGGGGGCGGGGTGGACCAAACGCCACAGTTAGATGGAGAGAGAGGTCAAATCGTGTCTGTGTCACGGGAAAGCCCCCGAAAGATCCAGCAGCCCCAAAAGCAGCGGGGTGTTAGCACCCGTCAAGGGAGCTGGCAGGAGACCAGTCGTTTCGGCAGTGCCAGTGCCCGGTGGTCCTCCGTGCTCTCCCGTGTGACAGAACTTGGGCCTGACCCGTCCTCGCCATCCAGGCGTGAAGCCCCCCCGTTGGCTGCAGGAGCCCCCAGCCAGGAGGCCGGGGTCAGGCCAGCTCCCCACACCCGTTCGCAGAGCTCTCCTGACGCAGCGCGAAAGCAAGGGCGACACACCACCATTTCCCTGACGCGCCACAGGCCGCAGCCTCCGGAAGGCGTTGTGCGGTTGGAGTTTATGTTCACAAGTGAGGAATTGCAAACCAACACCACCGCGGCCACCTCACGTATCTTGGGCCTGACAGTTGGCTCGACAGTTGGCTCTTAGGGTTCTTCACTATCTGTGCCGTGTCCAAAAGTGCCAGGTGGAGCAAACTCTGAGGCCAAGCTTTGGTGATGTCACTTTAAAATCACTCATCTTGTAAGAGTAAAATCTCAAATTCAACAAAGCCTTTACGTAGGTTTGCCGTTTTAAGAACTATTTAAAAGTCTTTCGACCCATCTGTAGAGAGCCTACCTAGGGGTTACCTGAAATCTAGATGGCACCTGAAATGTAATCTTTAATTTTGTCAGCATCTAATTTTCTTACCTGGCTCCATCAAACCTTGTTCGGGTGCTGCTTCCCACTCTGGTTCGATTTCTGGCTCAGTAAGACCTTCTGGAACAGGAATGGGGGGACCACCAGATGACCTTACAGGTGCACCCAAGCTCCCTGCTTTGGCAGCTTCCCCAGAGAGCGCAAGTGTGGCCTCCATCTCCTGGGTGGCAGAGTTTTCCCCGGATTCCTCCTGCCCAGGATTGCCAGGGACTAGAGCAGTAAACTCCATTTCAAGGTGCAAAGATTTTTCAGAGCCTACTGCATTGGTAGAGCCCTCTGCATCCTGGAGTTGTGCAGGCGGACCTTGCAGGGAGGTGTTGGAGTACAGAACTGCTTCTGCCTCCATTTGCACCGAGGAATATTCTGCGTCCTCCTCCGACCGTGCACGTTTTCCAGAACCTACGGCTTTGCCTGAGCCCCTCATGAGTGCTACAGGAATGGGACCAGAGGGTGATGACTGATCATTTTCTTTAAGAGTAGCAATGTCATCAGTGAAAGGGATAACTATGTGCTCTGGTATTTGCTCGACGTAAGTGACTCCTTCAGTCACAGGCTCATCGTTACAGATAGAGGATATATGAACGAATGATGTGACCTCAATATCAGCCTGCAAAGGGACCTCAGGAGCTTGATCGTAAGCAGGAGGGTCTTGTTCATCCTGCAAGGGGAATGAGGAAGCCGTTGATGGCTCAGCGTGATCATCTTTAGATTCAGAACCCAAATCTACACGGACAGATGTTTGGCTCAGAACCTGCAGGGCCACCACCTCTGCAGAATACACAGCAGGAGTGGCCGCCGCGGCATCTTCGGCAGCCTCTGAGCTGAGTACCTCCTTGGAAAACACAGGCAAACTTGTTGCCACATCCACCATTAACACGTCAGACTGATCAGAATGAATAGATGCAACGTTACCTAACGTCTGAGCAGCAAACTGAGCTGGGTCGGCTGGGACATAAGCAAACTCCAGGGAGCCAGCTGCCGGAGACGGTGACGACGGTGGGCTCATAGCCTTAGAGGTAGTTGGCTTTGAACTGGAGCCTCGAGCGGCTTCGGACGTCTCGTCGGGCTCTGGGAGCAGCTCAGCATGAACTGATGGGAACTGAGTGGTTTTGCTGATGACCAGTGGTCCAGCTATATTGTCCTCCTCTGTGTCTGTAGATTTTTCCATCCGTGTAGGTTCGTGGGAAACTATGGATGTTCCTACCGGTTCTTTTACACATTCTGGTTTCTTCTCTCGTGTCGTTCCTTCTGACCATCTCTCTACTAACAAACAGCCGGATGGGTTAATAAGCGTGTGTCCCCCTCCACCTGCCACCAAATTTTAAAGCAGTAACAGAACATTCAGATGGCAGTACGTACACGAATACAAAAGAATTTGCTTTATTTCCCAACATCAGTGATTTCGTGTGGGTAATGAAACTTCCCTGTCCTGATCCACTCAAAAGATCCCTCAGTCAGTTCATCTCCTCAGAACTAAGTGACCCTGAGTAGCATGGTGACAAAACGCATAATCAGATACCACTTCAGCTGGTCAGCGTCAGGGAAAAGACCATAACTGCCTAGAATTGAGTTGAAAACCTCCATGGAAAAAGCTTCTGATCTAAACTCCTACACAAAACCAGAGGGCAGAGGGCAAGACTTCAACCCGAGCAGTAAGTGACCTCATCTTCAGCTGATGGAATAGCTTATTAATGAAACAAATGCTGTCATGTTAATAAAGGCATTCCTCAATTTAAGAAAATGCATATATAAAATTTAACGATGAATCGGAAAACTTGACTACAGGACACTTCTATGTTAGGAAGCCCCGTCTAGTCTAGCCTAAAAATGGTAGTGATCTTGCTGGCAAGATGTGATAATGCAGGCCAAGCTGTACTGACCCAGACAAGAGGGGCCGAGAGAGAACTCTGGACCCATGTGTACGTGTGGACTCGGTGAGTCCTCGGGCAGGAAGAAGTTCCCATGGCTGGGGATGGCGAGAGGGCTGGCGACGTGTAGAAACTCCTAGGACTGGAAAACTGCTGTGAGCCCCTTTTCTCAGCTCCGCATCTGCCT